GTTAAATTGTGTGGATGTGGCTTGACTCCTGTACTATCACAGTGTTCTAAGCAGTTTGGGCTTAGGGGTTTTTCTGTACGTGTGTTTGCGTTTCGGTTTCCATTTAGCTCTCAGGCTTGCAGCTGCCACTTTTTATTCACATCATTTTACTTAATCCCTGCATCTCCCTTCTCACTGTCCTAATCCGTTTAGGAAATCAGATAAGTCAGCTTGTTAGATTTGTTTCCAATTGGTAAGTAACAGCACAGAGTAGGACTCTTAGGGTTCAGTAAAAATTCCACATTGGCTACCCTGGGCCCCTTTGTCCTTCCCTTCCTTGGGAGACATTTCCATACAGATATTGGTGAAAGGGGTGCTTTCTCAGTGCAGCTTCTTACGTGCTCTGTTGTGTGACATCTCCAGTCAGTGTGGACAAGTATTAGTTAACTTTTAAAAATACGTGCTCTGAGAGGACAGAAACAGAACCACTTCCATTTTCTTGCATTTTCTTCGTGCCATCCCTGTGCTTGTCTCCCCTGTAGCTTTTGTGTGGCATCTAGCAAAGCAGAGGTCACAGTTGTAGTTTCTCTGACCTCTAGGTTATTTGCCTGTAACAGGAAAATGTAAAAAGAACAAAAACTTGTTTTTTGCTTTAAGCAATTTAATCTTTTTTTATAGACATGGAAATAGGAGGAGAATAAATAAAGAAAAAGTAAACTATGAAGAGAAAGTATTAATATTTACTTACTCTGTCTACTGCTTACATCCTACTTACTACTTACTGTCTCGACTTACTAGATCTACTGCTCTTCACTCCTCTGTGTAAAACCAGGTCTTCAACTGGTACCCTTTTCATTTTGCCTGAAAATTTTCCTGTAACATTTCTTGAGTTATAGACCCTGATGGTGACAAAATTATCTTTTTGTTTGTTTAAATAAGTAAGGTATTTTTATTGGATATAGAATTCTAGGTTAATGCTTTCATCTTTCTTAAGATGTGTGGCTCAGGACCTGTAGCACAGTGGTTACGGCACCAGTGACACACACTGAGGCTGGGGGATTTGAACTCTGCCTGGGCCAGCTAAACAACAATGACAACTGCAATAACAAAAATAGCCAGGTATTGTGGTGGGCGCCTGTAGTCCCAGCTACTTAGGAGGCTGAGGCAAGAGAATAGCTTAAGCCCAAGAATTTGAGGTTGCTGTGAGCTGTGATGTCACAGCCCTCTACTGAGAGCTACATAGTGAGACTCTGTCTCAAAAAAAAAAAAAAAAAATCATTCCAGGCTCAGGGCCTATGGCTCAAGTGGCTAAGGTGCCAGCCCCATACTATTGAGCTGGTGGGTTTGAATCCAGCCCAGGCCTGCCAAACAACAATGACGGCTGCAACCAAAAAGTATCCAGGCTTTGTGGCGGGCGTAGTGGTGTAACTCCCAAGTAGACCCAGCTACTTGGGAGGCAGAGGCAGGAGAATTGCTTGAGCCCAGGAGTTGGAGGTTGCTGGGAGCTGTGATGCCCAGGGCAACAGCTTGAGGCTCTGTCTCAAAAAAAAAAAAAAAGTCATTCCACTATCTTCTGGCTTAGAGAGTGTCTGATGAAGTCTGCTGTCATTTCTGTGTTTGTTCCTCTCTTCCTCTGGAACCTTTTCCTGATTTTATGTAGTTTGGTCATGATATGCCTTAGTGTGTTTTTCTTTCTGGATGTGTCTTACTTGGGAATTGCAGAGCTGTTTGAATCTGTAGGTTCCATCAGATTTGGAAATGTTTGGCCATCATTTTGTACATTTTCTTTTTTTGTCCATCCCATCCTCCCCCTTCAGCCTGCTGGCAATGCAATTTATGTGCGTTTGACTGCTTGATATTATCCCTTAAGTCTCTGAGACTATTTCTTTTACTTATTTTTTTGGCCTATTTTGTTTCTGTACTTATTTTGTGATCAGTTTCTATTCCTTTAAAGTTCTCTGATTATGTTTTTCCTACAGAATTGAACCTGCTTTTAATCCCATTCAATAATATTTTAATTTTGGATACTGTTTTCTGAAAATCTAGAAATTCCATTTGATCCTTTAAAATTTTTTCCTGTTCTTAATGAATGTAGATATTTTCCTTTGATATTGAACATAATTATAATAGCAGTTTTAATGTTCTTATCTCTGGTGTTTCTTAGTTGTTTACTATTTTCTGATTTCTCTCCTTCCTGATTGTGAACCACATTTTCTTGCTTCTTGTCATGTTAAGGAATTTGTTATTAGACCTTGCGTATTGTGAATGTCTGAATTTTGTTACATTCTTTTAAAGAGTGTTATGCTTTGTTTCTCAGAGCCAGGTAAATTACTTTTGCAGATCTCTCTAATCTCCTTCAGGCCTGTTTTTAAGCTCTTATGGGGCAGGTTTAGTGTAACCTTCACTCTGGAAACAGTTCAACACTGATACTAAGATGTGACCTTTCTGAAGTCTCCCATTAAATGTCTTGGATGTGTCATGGCTAACATTGTGTTTTGGCTGGTTTGAGCTTGAATGTCTTTCTACTTGTGTAAACTTTGAGAATTGTTCAGTTTATTCCTTCTTGGTCATTTTTGCCCCACTTTGTGGAACTTTACCCACACGTACAAGGTCTAGAACTTAGGACATTTCTGGGGCTCTCTTTCTGGGTAGCTTCCTTTTTTGCTAGTCTGCTCTGTTATTTCTAGCACTCTTAACCTCCCTAACTCTATTCTTTATTATCTCGACTGAGCAAGGCCACCAGCTTTAGTTTAGATTCCCTTTCCTTATGTTTGGCAGCTTAGGAATTTCTCCAGGCGGAGGGTTGGGGTGATTGTGTGGTTCACCTTGTTCTTTCTCATCTTTCAGGGATCAAAATTCTGCACTGCCTCTGTCTAATGTCTGCAGGTAGTTATTTTACATGTTTTCTCAGGTTTTACTGCAAGAGGTTAAGTATGGTCCTCGCTATGTTACCATTGCTTGCAAGCAAAAATCCCAGGAATTTCATTGAAATTGTTTCATTGAAAATAATTCTGAGCATCTGAATACAGTTCCGAATGGCATGCCTGCCTGTATTGGAAGACTGATGTAAATAATTTACATGGATTTTTGAGTGAAGCATAACAGTAACCTCAGGTCCCTCATTCATCATTCTACCTTTCCCTCAGCCTGAAACTGTTCCTGCCTTAAGCAGAATAATGATGGTAGTTTTTCAAATGATAATGAAATAATGAGAGCAATTGGGTGCTCTTGGAGCTTCCCAGAGGACAGCTGGGCTGACCCAGTCCTTATCACTGCTACTGCTGGCATTGCTCAGTGGGGGACCTCTCCTTTGGGTTGTTCTTGTTCTTTGCATTAGACTTAAATTTTACTCCAAAAAAGACCCTTATCAATCTGCTCTGAATTAGCATAGTAAATCTATGCTCACAGTACACTGCACATCTGAATCAGTAAAAACTTGAGGTATGGATTGAAAGAAGCATTTTAGAACACACGGCATAATAATGCAATCTGGGGGATTTAATGGCATGTTGTAAGGATGTCGCCCCCACTTCAAATAAACTAAGCCATGTTATTTGGAGGGGCATCGTTAGTGAGTTTTAAGGAGCATTGGGGAACATTGGAGTCCTAAGTAGTATAAAACTTGGTTAATAGTTTAGCCAAAAATCAGCTAACTCAAGGAAAACAGGGTGCTATTTGTATCTCTTCTGCGGTTTATAATTATTTACTTCAGACTTAATTGGTAAAGATCTTATGCCATTTTTTAAAAGTCATGAATATTGCCAGCTATAAATGTTATTTTTTTTAAATTAATACTGTTAAGTTCTTTGTTTAGCCTCCTGAATGACTCACAGTTGCTACATAAGTCCTTGGTACTTGATACATGAGCTCTCATTTTATGTCATTAAAATGTTATTTATAAACATACTGATTTTTAAGAACCCAGAGATGTTTTTTCTTTGTAATTTTAAATGCAACTTTAGGAATATTGATTGGATCCACTGCTGTTTAGAAAACTTAAAAGTTAATGTACTTATAAAAAAAAATTCAACTTCACTAAAAGAAAAATGAACCACAGAAGAAGCATTTTTTTTCATTGACCAAATTGGTAGGAGTTTTAAAAATTATATTCATTGTTGGCAAGGGTGTGGCAAGACGGGCACTTCTTTGAAGTTTAAGAAAAATGTACATTTATATAACCTTTCTGAAGATAAGTTTGGCAGTATACATCAGGTACTTTCATGCTCTTTGACTCAGTAATATTGCTTCTACACATTTCTTAGAATTGTTAGAGATTCAAAAAATGCATCTAGAATGGTGTTTGTTGCAATACTATTTATAATGATGAAGTATTAGAAACACCCAAATACCAGTAGTGAGTGTTTTGATTGGGACATTTTCTAATTATGAAGTACTGTACAGTGATTAAAACTATGTTTATTAAAAAATTTCATCACAAAGGAAAAATTGCATATTTAAAGTAAGCAGTATAAATTATATATAGACTCATCTGAAGCATTATTAAAAAATACCAGGCAGGCATGATGGTTTATACTTATAATCCTAGTACTTTGGGAGGCCCAGGTGGGAGGATCACTTCAGGCCAGGAATTTAAGGCCAGTCTGGGCAACATAGCAGGATTCTCTGTGTACAAAAAAATAAAAAATGAGCTGGGCATGGTGGCATGAGGATAACTTGAGCCCAGGAGTTCAAGGCTGTACTTTAGCGTGGGTGACAGAGTGAGATCCTGCCTCTTAATAAAAAAAAGTTTATGGAAGAATGGTCAGAAATACTCCAAAATATTAAAGGTGATGATTTATGAGAGTTTTTTTATTTCTTTATCTTTTCTCTGTTTTCCAAAATTGGAGTGGGAAGGCATTCTGGATATGGGAAAGCAAGCGTGATCTGGATTTACTGAGGCTTTCCAGGCCTTTGATAAGTATCTGAGATTCTAAAAGAGCAGGCAAACCTTTCATCTCTGAGACTAGTTGTTCAGATTAAAAAGTACTTACAGGAAAACAATTTCTATACTTATTGTTTAGATAAAAATTTTGAAGATGAAGATTCTGTGGATGGTAATAGACCTTCCTCTGCTAGTTCTACATCATCCAAGGCTCCACCCAGCTCACGGAGAAATGTTGGAATGGGGACCACCCGCCGGCTTGGGTCATCCTCTCTTGGATCCAAGTCTTCAGGTACGTCCAAGCCCTGGTTGATGTCCTGGGGTCAGCTGTGCCAGCTTTTCAAACTGGTGGTGAAGGCATTTCCCTGCTGTGTCCCTCAGAAGTGATACAGTCCCTGTATGCAGCATGTTTCTGCCTGCTAGTCTTTAACTGAATTAGCACTGCAAAGTCAATGCTAATAAACTGGTGGGATAGAAGTTGGAACTGCAGTGTTGACCTTTGCCACATTCTGTAGGATAGAGAAGCCAACACAGAGGAAAGCATGGCTCAGAGATAAAGAACAAGTGCTCACTGAGGTGGCATTTCTTGATTATCAGGATCCAGCAGGGCCTGAAGCCACCATAGGACTGGGAAAGATCCAGAAGTCAGATTGTATTTTCTGTCTTTAAAATATATTTAGTTCTTGCAAGTAACAGTGTTCCCTGTGAGACCAGTACAGCTGTTGAATTAAATAAATGGTGGGAGATTACCTCCCTGAAGCTTTGAAAATTGTTTTACAAAGGTTTCTCTTCGAAATCCGAAATCCCTTCTTTCCCATTCTTCCAGTC